TGTATATGTATATGTATATGTATATGTATATGTATATGTATATGTATGTATTAGGAGGGATTATAGGGCCCAGATTTCTCAATCGAAATTCAATATATATCTGAAATGTAACAATGATAACTTTTTTCAGCCACTCCCCATTTGATGTTCTATGGCCACTCACAGTTCAGTCTCACTTTTGGTGAAATTTTGCCTATTGTGGAAGCCAACTTTTAGGCTGATATCTACTAGCAGAGTATAAAGACAGTTTTTAATCTAAATAGAGACCACTCACTGCATACTGCTTTATTTTTAATCACTGAAATGAACAAACCAATTAGAAATATTAAAAATCATTCATGGTTGTATTAGCTGATCCATATTTAAGGGTTGCCAGTAATAACAGGTTGTGGTTTTTTCTGGCAATTATTCAAGTCATTGAAAACTTGATTAGCAATAAGATGATTCAAAGTATTAATATCCACATTAACTCATAAACTATAAAATGCATACATGGGGGTTGGGTACATGTATCTGTGAGATACTATGGTATTTTCAAACTGGGATTATTCCAGAGTGTAAATATATTGTGAAAATAGTATTCAGAATTATTCTTTCATCTCAGCATCTTCCAATTGTATCTTGCAACTTTCTATGCTATATGGACTACATTTTAAATATGACTACATTTAAAATTTAAAAAAGGAACCAAGCCAGGATATGAGACAGATTATATAATAGTTGGGGTTTTTAAAAATTGAATTATTTAAAGAAAAGATCGGAATATATATCTAGTGACAGTGCTGAAAATCATAAAAATGAAAGACCTCATCATTATATAAAAGCTTTAACTTAAATATTTGGGAGAAGAAGGGTAACTTTCTCATAAAATATGTATTAAGTGTTTTATATTAAACAATTATCTGAATACCTTTAAGGCAGTTGCAAAAGGATTTTTCTAAATTTATATTTTATCCTTAAAGTAGGAGTACATTGCCATTACATTTAAGCTTTGCTAGAAATGCAGTGGAATTTTAGACCACCAGTTTATGTCATTGTTATTCTGAGATAAGTAGTATGAAACATCAACAAATAAAGATTTTTTTCTGGAATAATTATTTCATATTATTTTAAAGAAACTGAAACCCATATTTTTATAGATTTCCATAGGTAACACTAAAGACTATGACATACATAACTACATAGCTATGACTTAGTTAATTAAGTAATCCAAGAGAAACCTTGCAGAAGGGAATTCCTGCCCTTGAGAATTGAATTGGAATAGATGGCATACATGGTTCCATTCAACCCTTCCACCCTGTGTTTTTGTCAAAATAAAATAAATGTTAAATAAAATGTAGAACAACTTAATATAGTTATAAAACAAACAAGTGCAGGGATCTGAAAAATGTGTTGTAACTGAAGGACTAAAAACATTGGACAGTAAACTGATTCCTATGACATTATATGAGATCATGCCTACAAAACTACTTAATTTGATTATTTCTTATTATTTCTGAGAAGCATGCATTGTTACATGTCAGATGGAACATATTTAAAGGCTGCTGTAATAATGGGGGGGTTTCTTTCTCTGCATGCTACAGCCCAAAAAGCGAGGCTCCCTGGCTCTTTTACCTTCCTTGGTTGAGGAAGCAGAAGACAATTCATTCCACAATGAAGTAAGTACACCATGGAGTATAATGGAGCTGAGTCTTATTAGAGAAATAAAAGGAGGCAGTGAAAGTGAGCAAGTTAGTCCTGGCAAAGTTATACTGATAACTTTGGGAATGAGCAGCATGGTCAGAATTGTCTTTTTAAATGCAGATTTTGATTATGGCAGTATTATAAATATGAGTTTTGAGTGGCTCCCTCACGTACGTCATTAGGAAATTATTGGGGATCTGTTTTTCTCACAATCTCTGATGACAGGATGATTGTGGATCATCTTTTTGTTTTATTCTGTTTTATTTTGATCTGATCTGTTTTTGCTTTGTATTTGGCATTTTGCCCTTCAGGTCAGTTATCTTAGCTACATGTTTTTAGTTGTGAGCTGCCCAGAGTTGTTTAAGAGTTAACAGATAACAGATAATAACAGCTAAGAGATAATCAGAGTTGGAAGGGACCTCGTAGATCATCTAGTCCAGTCTCCAAGCAGGAGACCCTACACCATTTCTGACAGATGGGAGTCCAAACTCTTCTTGAAAGTCCCAAGTGATGGCGCTCCCACAACCTCCGAGGGCAAGCTGTTCCATTGGTTGACTGTTCCCACTGTCAGAAAGTTTCTCCTTATTTCCAGGTTGAATCTCTCCTTGTTCAGTTTCCATCCATTATTCCTTGTCTGGCCTCCAGGTGCTGGGCAGCCTATAAATTATTTAATCAAAATAAATAAAATCATCCCACGCAGGACTGAACTTAAGGATTGTTTGCAAAAAACCCTTCAGTAATAGCAAAAATTGCTGCTTTATTTTGCAACCTTTTGGAAATATTTGTGGAAAGATGTAAATTGTTTGCCTGTTGATCTCATTTTGATGAATGCATTCAAATCTCTTCCGTTTTTGGTAGATGCAAAGGATGCATCTACTATCGGTGAGGAAGGGAGTTTTAATCTGAGGTTGCAGTGCAATCTGTATCTCATTGTGCAATCTGTATCTCATTGTACGAACCGTGGTGGGACATTGGTTAGAATGCAATATTGCAGGCTCATTGTGTACTGCCAGGAGTTCAATTCTGACTGGCTCAAGTTTAACTCAGCCAACTATCCTTTCATTGTCAATAAAATGAGGACCCAAATTGTTGGGGGCAATATGCTGACTCTGTAAACCACTTAGAGGGGGCTATAAGGCAACTATGAAATGGTATAGAAGTCTAAATGCTCTTGCTCTCTTCTGCAAGTCCTTCGTGTTACTTTTGAAACAAAATGTAACTGAAATGTCTGGCAGGCATCTTCAGCTAAAATCTCCATTACCACATATCTAACTTAAAGAAGCAGGCTGTATGTAGCTTTAGAGAAGCTATCTAAAATAAAATCTAGTACCAACTGTTTTTGGTGTCTGCACTTTAATTTTATATACAGAATATTTTCCATAATTGTGAATTGTTTTTATTAACTATTTTATTTCCCAGAGGTGCTTTATCAGAACAAGAAGGAGTGCATAGGCAGAAATTTATAGTTTTTTCTGACTCTAAATATGGACTATAAAACTTAATAACAATTCACAATAGGGACAATCTGTGAACGATATTCCTGCAGTTTTTATCATCCCTATGAACTTCAGAATGATCCAGAGACCTTTCTTAAGATTACTTGGTGGCTTTTGCAGTTACATTGGTAGTTGAACATCTAACTTTGGGTGGCTGCAACTTTCAAGTTAGAATCTTATCAGTGAGCAACTTCATAGGGAAAAAAAGCTCTCACTTTCTTTATAGGAGGTGGATACTGATACCACAAAGGTCATGTCCAGTGAAGACTCTCTTGACATTCCAACCAAGGTAAGTGTCCATGGCTATTAAACTGTTAAAAATTTAAATTGCTCTTTGGAAATATAATGATTTGCTACATAATATTGGAAAACTAAAATGATAAGAAGCAAATATATTGTCCAGCTATTGATATATATGTTGCATTCAATTGTAAATAAATCATAAAGAGTTTTCCCCAACCTGGAGCTTTCTCGATGTGTTGACTTCAAGCTATGATCCTCCTTAGCCAGCATCTTGAGAAAACTTGGGTTAATTACAATTTCTACACAATATTCAGAGCAATTGTATTCAGATCCTCTGTATATTTGTCTAATATGATCTGATCCAATAGTACATTCTGGACTAACTAAAACAACGTAATTTATTTTCTTAAGATATAATAATAATAATGATGAAAGGATTCAATAGGTGGATAAAAATGCCAAAATCAGTCTGAATATCTGGTTCACTGGGAGATGAACCAAAATAATTACTGTCATTATTTATGATTCCTTACAGTTTTAAAAAAACTACCCAAAAGCACATGGTCCTATATTATTAAAAGCATCATAAAATAGAATTATGCACAATAGCACTAATTAAAATGAATAGTAGAGGTTAAATAAGAGTATAAAGTCTAAAGGGACTAAAATAGTTTTTTTTTAGAATGCCTGGGAAAAATAAGACAGTTCATTATCTAGCACTTGAGAAAAATACTGCAGTCGATGACGGACATATCTAGGGAGGGAGCCCTAAGGAGTGCCACTACTGAGAAAGCTCAAATCTAATGACTACCAGATCCCCTCATCCGGCAAGAGAATCTGAAAAAGGACCCCAGGCAGGACTTAAAGTTCAAAGAATGTTGTATATCCACTTTTCCAGCTACAAATATTTCAGCTGTTGCACCCATGAAACACAAGACACTGACTTTGGAGAATGCCGAAATGCTTTTTTTAAAAAAAAAAGCGGGGGGAGCGGAGAGAGTAGAATGAAGAGGGGATTAAGCATACTTGCTTGTCACAAAATGCTAAAGGAATCTTGGGGGAAGGAAGAGTGGAATGACATTGTTTACAAACTTTATTTGACAACCTTCCCTTTTGTGAAGAAAGAACATTTCTCTTTTCTGTTAGGTTTTTATTTTATTGTTTTTAATGTTAGAATACAATGTCTTTTTGAGACCAAAGTTCAAAAGCAATATGTAAATATTTACTCTGGGGCCTACGTTCCAGCTTTGAAATGCATGCAGTGCCTGGAATCTTCTCCGACAAGCACTAGAAAAACACCTTTCTTTAGATCCTGTGGGATAGCATTTAATAATAAGCTATGAATCAGCCAGCTTCCTGTTTCGTCAGCCTTACCTGTGGAAATGCAAATGAGTTGCTAAGAAGCCTGTTGTGCCAGATCACATGTTGTTGATGGTGGCTGAGATTACTTTTTCTTTCTTTTTTTCTTTCTATCTTTCCTTTTTTAAATGTATATATATATATATACCTATATTTTAAAAAGTCCCATTTGGCAAAGTGAGAAAGCATGCTGCTTTCTGAGCACATGCTCGCTGCTTTAGGTCTCATATATCCTGGAGAATCCGACTGTTCTTTCTTTCAGGGCAAATCTTCCACCCAACTCACCAACCCTCCCGAGTGCTTATGGAGATCACTGAGCAACACAAAGGCAACCAAGGACATAGTTAACGAGCCGGCTCAGGTCCTCCATGTGTGCCAGGCTCAGATTGCTGAGCTGGAGCTGTGGCTCGATCAAGTTAAAGAGTCTCTAGGATCGGAGGCCCAGATCTGTCAAATGCAGCAGTTGGTGGACCAGCATCTTGCTGCATGCCAGGTAAGAGGAAGAACTGGCTAAACTTCACCACTGCTTTCTGTAAACCATGAGCATTCTTTAAAGTCACTCCACACGGTACCTAATGTTTTCACTGCTCTTACTTCTTGTTCTCTTTGAAATGCCCCTTTAGTTAGATGGGTTAATTTTAAGGGGTGTAGCTAGATTAATTTCTCAATGCTCTTGACCCAACCAATCTCTGCTAGCTTGGACAGGCACTACAAGACAAACAATCTCAATCTTGTTTCCATTTCATTCGTAAACAGGAATGGGCAGAATACAGACTGGGGTCTATTAGCCTGATATTTTATAGCTGATCAACAAGTGTTTCCAGTTCCCAATTATTTAGCAGTAGCCGCAACAATATATTTCCCATCTAACAGGAGCTATGAGGTAATTCAGTTTTGGAATAATCAGGACTGTGAACTCAGTTTGGTGCTGATTATGAAAACTAACTCCTACACAAATATTCCGAAGGCAGTGTGATACGTTTTGAAAAAAACACATTTTGGCTGCTGCTTCTATATCTCTCGGGCCCAAAAGTGCTAAAACTCCGATACCATGCAAATACAATAAGAAGTTTTGTCCTAATTACAAAATGCTGACCTTGTTGTCCCCTAATTATGAGTCCTCCATGCAATGTCCAATTATAAGGGCATGAAATCAATAATCCAGCAACCTGGAATTCCAGTTAAAAAGCACTGCCAAGATTCTAGTCAGCATTACCATAACTTCAAATGAAATATGATTACCTGAATCAAGTTGCTAGCCCTTATTGTGACGAAGCGGGATAAACTACATGAAAGTACCAAATGAAAAATCCTAGACTATTTCCAGGACAAGAGTCCAATACCTGATGATTGGGCTGTACTCCAAGCTAGATGAAAAATTCAGGCAAAGATACCTTAGTATACACTTGAAGCCTGTCACATTTAAAGGAAGTAGGTACAAGGGTGTTTGTGTTTAGCTTCTTTTTGTTAAGACTTTTTAAAGCACAAAATGAGAAATTAAATGAAAATGTCAAACATTGTTACTTCTTTTGTCGGGTTAATGGATGCTGAAATACTAGGTATGAGGGTTTTTGTGGATTTTTTAAAATACAGTTTAAGAAGATGATTGAAAGTATTACTAAAGTTTCTATTGTTTCTGGACAATTTTCTACAAACTGATTGTTTCCTAACAAATTACTTAGATTTACAGCAAATTACTGTACTAAGCCTCACCTAAGTGACTTTTGAAGTAGATGGAAAGAGAACTGGAACAAGAATACTTAAACTTTATCGTTCATGATATTTGGGGAAGTGGTGATAAAGAATTTGGATTCTAATGTTTTTTGTATGGACCTCAGAACAAACTGCACAATTCTCTTTATCTCATCTTTTATTAGATAAGCAAAATCTCTGACATTTTTTGCAATGAGTAAGATACAGTATGGCAATACCCTACTAAAAGGGAACACTTCCTGCTCTAGCCTACCTTCTAAAGATACTTAATGAAATTAAGGGCTCTACAAAAATGCTAACAATTATGAGCCTGTACTCAATTCACTTCTGCATTTGAAACCTGCTTCTACATATCCTAAATTATTACAGCAACACACTTCATTGATTCAGAGAAGCTCTCATGCTCCTGAATCCTTTGCCCGCATGACTGATCATTGGGCTGAGCATGTCAAAAGAAAGTAATATTTTTCTATTGCTTGGTGATTTTGAAAATGTTATCCACGGATCATGAATATGGCTGCTGCCCTTATTTTCCCTTACACTGTGGTTTCCACAGTTCTTTAAACTTCGCTTCTGGGCCTCTTGCTGTCCCATTAGACCATCTGACCGTTTTCCAGGTGTCCTTAACACGGACATTCTGTTCCTGTTAGCCAACCCAGTGCGGTCACTCTGTGTGGTACCTTTTTTCTCTTTCACATGTGCCTCTGTTGTCAATCTTTCCAGCAGCAAGCTTGTGAAATGAAGGTTGGGGTGATGTTATGCTAGAAAGTAACAGTACAGTCAAACAGAGAAGTGAAAATGTTTCAAGTCCATTAGCGCTCTCAATCAGAATGTATTTTTAGGCTTTGGTTCTGCTCCTTTTCAACACACCTCCTCTAGATAGAATTTGCCTAGGGCAGAGTTTCTCAACCTTAGCAACTTTAAGATATATGGATTTCAACTCCTGGAATTCCCCAACCAGCCAATCTAGCTGAGAATTCTGGGAGTTGAAATCCATATCATCTTAAAGTTGTGAGACCCTGGCCTGGAGAATGTGTATGCTGAAAGTCTTCCAGGTCAAGGAGAAGGATGGAGGGAAAGGGTCAGAGGAGAACATTCTCCCCCAGGGAGCCCCTTGAATGAAACAGCTGACCCGAGCAGCAAGATTGGTCCTTTCCTGGTGATCTTTCAGAAACTTTTAAAGAGTTGTTTGAGATTGAAAGAGCAGAGTGAAATGTGAGAATGCTTGTCTTGGATAGAATGAGTGTGCTCTGGGTTCATTATGGTATTATATGTTCTACAGTGTTACTTGTTTTATTGGCTCTTTGGCTTTTTAAGTTGATAAAAATCAACCAGATTAATGCAGCGTAACAGCTGCAATGATTAATAAATATGTGAAAGGGGAAAGTCAGAAGGGAAAGGAAATCATCTCAGGTGGATATTTACAGAAGAGTTGTAGGATGAAATTGGCACACCAATATCACTACATGAGGCCAGCCTTCAGATTTCTGGGATGTATGGCTCTTTTCTTTTTCTACTAGAAAAATGAGATCCACAGTATATGTAATAAAAAAGACAGTTCCTCTGAATGTATGCTTAGCTGAGAATTTTGTGACCAGTACATGAAATGCATAAATTACTATTTCTTGATTCCTTCATCCCCCATATCGTCAGAAGCCTGAGGCGGGGGCAGGAAAGGGGGTCACTTTTAGATGGGCCTTTCCAGGCATTGGAGCTGTCAGCCTTTAAGCTTTAGGACGCTCAATAAATAAATGTTTTGTGAATGATTAACTGCTTGGCTTCCTCAGGTGATGTTAACAGAAATTGAACAGAAAGTCATGTGGTTATTGGAGGAATGCAAAGGCACAGCCACTACCAATAGCTCAGGCCTCGAACAAGAAACAGAGAACCTTTCCTTGAACCTTAAAAATGTGAAGTGCAAGTTGGAAAAAGTCCAGCGCATGCTCCAAGAGAAATACACAGAAGAACAGGTAAACTGAAACGTCAAGAAACTTGAAGAGTAATTATTATGCTGCCTGACTGCCAACAACTCTTATTGCATTTACTTAAAGCAGACTTCCTCAATCTGATGTCCTTCATTTATATGGATTATAGACTCCAGAATTCTCAGCATGGGGGAATTCTGGTAACCAAAGCCCACTTATCTGGCAGGCATGCAGCTTAGAGATAACTGGTGGAAAGGGTGTGTATATGTGTATATCCTGCACAATAATTATGACCAGGTAATTCCAGCCTTCTGAAACTTGGAGCCTTGTATGCATTTATTCTGGGATCACAGTTCCCTGAATTCCCAACACATTTGCAGAGCCCTAGCTTGGGGAAGGGGTAGCCTGTATTACAATTACTTGCATCTTCAGCTCTACTTAATGTTGTATCTATTGATCAGAAAATCATGCATTATTATTTTGCTGAAAAGTGTACTCTGCCATGTAGGTTTGTAGATGGAAAAAACATCACAGTTGCCTTTCTTAAATAATCTCAGGCACATCAATAACAAAATAGCTCATTATCTGTAGCAATTCTTTCCTGTATTGTGCTTCTTTCTCTGTGGTTGGTTTGTAGCATGTGGCATTCAACGGTAAACCATCATTCAGTATAGAGATGGGTTAGACGGAATTCACCAGGGTTGCAATGTTGCAAAAGATTGCAACATTGAATATTCCAGTTATGTATTTGTTTTAACAATTTCAAATAGCCATTCACATTTCAAATGGTGATTCTGGGTGGTGAACAATTATAAAATCAATTAAAACCAGTATAAACATTATAGACAAACACACATGTTCATTCATTCATTCATTCATTTTCTCCAGATGTTGTATTTTCCCCCAGATCTGCAGCTATTGTCCCTTTTCTGCTAATGATATTGTTTTGTCAGCATAAGAATGTATATTCACACAATTATTTTGCTAATCATTAAGAAAAACCACAATAATTTGATCTGATACAAGCAGCTTCAAACTGGCTTATATGCATGAAATGGATGTATTTGGACTGCAAAAAAAGATTCTTTTTTTAAATAAGGAACAAAGATACTGAGTCAGAGAGAGTACAAATGGAACATTAGCTCTCTGCCATTGGGCCTACCTCCCTGGTTCCTTATGATTGTCTGTTCATAAGTGCCCATAATTGGATTTAGTTCTTTGCAAAAAAATATATCCTTGTGCTTAGAGATGACATGGCCTTGGTGATAATGTATTTGGGGCAAGAATAGCAACAATTATTTTGAAAAACTATTTTGAAAACCATTTTTGAAATGCTGCATGAAAGTGCTCCAGGATTGCCTCATGCAGAGTCTCCTTTTCTCCTGGGGAGGGGGGGTGGGGAGGGGGGAAGAGAAGGAGAGAACTTAGTTGTTGCAGCAGGAATGAATAAATGAGCATTGTGGACTTTGATAATGAAACTGAAGTGTCTTCACACGGCCTCCAAGCTGCCTCAGAAGAAGAAAGTTGATAATGATGAATAAAATATTATTTCACTTCTCTGTCATCACTGCAGGCTGCCAGAGTGTTCCATGTTTGATTTAAAATGGTTCACCAAGCAAATATTTGTGTACATAATAGTGTCATGCTCAAGCATAGTGTACAGTGGTGGGCATGTCTGGCAGGAAAAAAAGTCCCAGATTCAATTCATGTATTTCCAGAGAAAACTCCTGCCTGAAACTCTTGAGAACTCCTGTCAGTCACTGTCAGCATCATCGGAGTTGGTGGATCAGTACTCTGACTCAATATATGGCAGCTTCCTGCAATTCTAACATACTGTGTTCAACCAGATTTGGTGAATAATATGAATACAAGGATAGGAATTTAAAGGAGAGAAGCTGTGGGTAGTAAGCAGCATGAAGTCCTTCCCTCAGTAGTTGCTTTTTGCCTGTTATCCTTTCCCTACTATCCATCTGTCTATCTTGGCCAGCCTTCTTGTCTTTCTGAGAGGAAAGTGACAGGAGTAGAAAGGGTACAGGGAAAAGCAGCAAGATGAGGAATGATTAAGAACCTCCTGTTTCTCTCCTCTTATTCTTTTAGCAAAAGAAAGTGTTTCCTAGTCCTCTGCAATCATTTTTTCTGTGTGTATTTTCATCAGAGAAAAGTTCTTACATGTGTATTTTTACTGTGACCCTTCTACTTTATTAAAAAATTGTAGCATAAGAAATTGTAAAGTGCATGCATGTTCTCTCTATATTTATAATAAAAAATGCAAGCTGCTTCTAAAAAACAGTATTCTTTCTCTTTGAAGATGAGCACTAATGAAGAGATCTCTGACAACTTCCCACAGCCACTTCATTTGGATTCCTCTAGTTCATTTCCAAATGAGACCTCAGAGAGACCTCTGTTTATTAGACCAAATGGTTTTCAGCATAAACAGGTAATTTTTCCTTTACTTATTTATTTATTAAATCACATGCCATCCATCTCACTGTCTAAGGCTTTTCCTCTTATTTATTAGTTTCTTTGTTTATGAGAATTTATATGGCTGCCCACTCACTTTCAGTGACTCTGGGCAGCTTATGAAAAATAAAAACCCAATGTACAAATAGAAACAACACCAGCTCCCTAGCAATAAAATCAAATAGGCCACTTGATGGGCTCCATTCCACTCTTGGTTTCCGAGGCCCGTTGGCAAAACCAGGTCTTTAGGGCTTTGCAAAAGAGTGTCAAAATGATGGCCGATCTAATCTCCACTGAGATGATGTTCCAAAGAGAGGAAGCCACCATAGAGAAGGCCCTTCTTCTGGGTCCTGCCAGATGTATCTCCTTAGGAGAAGGGATCCACAATATTCCCTTCAGGTAATCTGTTCCCAAGCTATGAAGGTCTTTATCAGTAAGCACTAGGATCTTGAATTGTACTCAGAAGCAAATCAACAGCCAATGCAGCTCCCACAGGAGGGGAAACGTGCATCTGGGCCTGTACAGAACCATGTGCATTTTGAGCAAATTGGAGCCAGCCCCATGTAGAATGGGAGTTGATTGGGGCATAATTGGCTAAGAGCAGGGATTCAAGACCAGAGATCGCAATTCTCCATGGACCAAAGAATAAATCCATTTCTTATAAAAGAAATGGGGAGCCCACTCACTATTTCAACTGATTTCTGGCCCATGGATGGTGAAAATGTTGGGTATCTTTACCCTTGCAAAGGATTGTTTTTACTCCTTAACCCCACTGTCCCAGTCCCAATAAAATGCAAGTCTGACAATATTGACACTTCAAATTCTGGGGAAATCATGATGTCACCAAACATGCCCACTGCAGCCTTAGGCAGAACACAAAGGCAAAATGCAACCTGCATGTTTAAAAATAGCTTTCTCTTCCCTTCCCTCATATGTCAATTATTGTGGGCTAAGTAAAGCTGCATCTAGAGCTTCTAGGATAGACATACCAAATTGAGTAAATGTAATTATATAATGTGGTTGGATTGGTCCTCTGGGGCCACCTGCTTTCCTTAGCTCTTCTGGGATGAAATAAGAGAGCCTCACTTTCAGTTTCGTGCAGTTCCCTCTTCTGAATTTTGATCTCAGGAAAGCAATAAATAATAAACGAACATCTAAATTTGTTGGTTCCCAGTTTGATTCCTACAGCATCTTATGATGAAACAGTATAAGACATTTTTGTTGTCAAACACCTACTTCTTACACTTCAATTTTCTTAACTTTGTTTTTATTTCTCCTGAAGGAACTGCTGTTAAAGCTGTCTGAGCAAGACAATCTCATTGACTTCCTAGAAGTATACATGGAGAAAATTCAGCCTCAACCTAAGCCCAGCAGAGTTCTGGGACTACAAACAAGGTACAGTTGGAAACACCTATCCCCTTTGGCTAATCTCAAAAACTAAACATGATTGGACCTTGTTAATATTTGAATAGGATACCATTAGAATCTCAAGTCTGCACACAAGATTTTAAAAATTGAAAAATATTTTGCAAGAAACCTTTGAAAGGTTCAGAGCCTTCCATGCTATTGCCGAGAAAATGTCATTGCCATGGCCATGTAATCACCATAGGCATGTTCAGCTCAAGAGAACCAAATATAATATAATGCAGAATGGCTTGAAAGAGGAGTTAGCGGAAACTTCTTTTCTTCACTTTTTATCTTTTCATCACTACAAATATAGGTAACCAGGGGTGGATTTCTACCAGTTCTGTCCATCTCTGTAAAACCAGTAGCTCTGAAGAGCAGCAGGCATAGAACCGGTTCTATGTCTGCTGCTGTTGTGGCCCAACCTCCCACCCCCCCACCTGCCTGGGCTCTTACCTGACCTTTATTTCCTGCTTTTTCACTGCAGCTGCTTTGCGTGATGCAGCTGTGGTTGAAAAAGCAGGAAAAAGGGCTTTTCCAACCACTGCACACTTGCACACAACTCTGCTTACCTGTCCGGGCAGCTCAGCATGTGCGTGTGATGCTAATAGACAGAACCAGTAGTTATACCAGTCGGATCCCATCCCTGTAGGTAACCAATTATGCTCCAGATCTTAGGATTTCAATTCCCATTAGTTCTAACCAACATGGCCATTGATAAAGGATTGTGAGAATGTTACTCCAAAATATCTGGAGAAGCCAAAGTTGTCTATCCTGCATTTAATGAACTTATATTAGAATCCTAATGGCTTATGCTCAAAACAGCATCTGCTACTTTCTTTTTTCCAACTACAGTAATAAACTGAGAACCCATGTGATAGCATAATGTGACATAACATAATCTTGGCATATTGCTGGAAAAATAGAGAGAACCTGAAGTTGCAGTTTTCAGTGGCAATCATATATGCCCCATTTCTTCATTTCATCTCTATATCTGTATCAGAAGCAGGATGCCAATATATATTAAGTCTTTGATGTGATCCAGGATTTATGTTCAGCAATATATTCACCAATGTCTCCTTTTTGTTGCCTTTCACTATATTTGCTTACTCATAATGGGGATATGATGCAATTCCAGCAATGAGGCACTCAGTTCAGGAAATGAGCCTCTTAGATTGACTCCAAAGGACCAAACGGGTGATAAATGGCAATATTTACAAGAAGAACTGCTACTCAAGAAGAATGCTCCTCATTGTCAATTGGATGAACTTCAGGTTAGTATATCCTTACTCACTTGCAGGTCAAAAATATAAGAAACATCACACAAGCACCTTCAGGTGTTAAAAGCAAATGTGAGGGAGTCATGCAGGTGTTGTCCCATAACCACATTCCATCCATCTACCCCAGCATACTTTTTATGAATGCAACAGATGCCAGAGTTTCTATTCTCAGAAGATTTAAAACCTGATGTTTGAGTGCATCTGCCATTTCACAATATGATGATGATCTAGTTTTAAAAGTATATTTGTTTTTACTTTAAAAAAATAATATTATATAGTAGTCTTGACTTACAATCACAGTTGAGACCAGAATTTCTGTTATTAAGCACTTACAGTTGCTAAGTGAATAATTCTTGATTTTATGACTTTTTTTGCCATGATTATTAAAGGAACAACTGCAGCTGTTACATGGTTGCTAAGCAAATCCAGCTTTTCCCATTGACTTTACTTATTGGAAGCCAGCTGGGAAAGTCACAATTGGTTATCACCTGACCCCTGGATGATGCAACTAAATACATGACAAGGCCCCAAAATTTGATCATGTGAGGAAAAGTCATATGTCATATATGTGAGGTCAGATCATACATCACTTTTTAAAGTGCCATTATAACTTCAAACAGACACTAAGCAAATGGATATAAGTTGAGGGATATCTTGGCAGCGGGGTTGTCTGACATTATCTGTATGTCACCATGAATTTAACCTGGGGCACTTGTCTAAACATGTTTTGGTTTTTTTCCCCAAATATTAGATCTCTACCAAAATAAATATTCTGCCCCTGGGTGTTACATCGAGTGTGAGAACTCCAACCATTGAGGAGCTAAAAACATACACAGCACAGCTGGACAATCTAAGCCAGGAAGCTTCTATTCAGGTACAGGTACTAAAGGCATTTCTCTGAGTTATATAAGTAGCCACCAGGATGGTTGAATAAGATCTAGCTTTGGCACCATGGAACATCTACTTTCAATGCACTAAAAAGTTAAACGTTTCCCTTGTCCAGTCATGTCTATTCTAGGGGGCAATGCTCATCTCTGTTTCTTAACCGAGGGAGCCACCACCTATAAAATGACCGTAGAATAGAATAATGGAGTTGGAAGGGACCTTGGAGGTCTTCAAGTCTAACCTTTTGCGTAGACAGGAAACCCTATACCATTTCAGACAAATGGCTCTCCAATCTCTTCTTTAAAACTTCCAGTGTTGCAGCATTCACAACTTCTGGAGGCAAATTGTTCCATTGGTTAATTGTTCTAACTGTCAGGAAATTTCTCCTTAATTCTAGGTTGCTTCTCTCCTTTATTAGTTTTCATTCATTGCTTCTTGTCCTGCCCAAAGGTGCTTTGGATAATAGATTGACCCCCTCTTCTTTGTGGCAGCCCCTGAGATATTAGAACATGTATCATAAAGCAATTTGGAATAAGTGCTCAATATTTTCCAGACTTATAACTTAGTTCTTGAAAATGTCTGTATATGTTTCCACCATAAATATTAAACAGTAGTCTTCAGGCCAGGATTTTGAAAAGTGCAGTTTCTTATGTAAGGATGAGAAGTTCTGAATCTAATAATATGACTGCTTCTACGTAACTCTGAAAATAATACTGTCTTCCACATCTATCTTCCTCTATATCAGATCATCCTAGAGATCACTTTCAAGTTACTTGTAATGCCCAATATAGAGGGCCTTTCTTTACATTAGGGGTCTTCAAACTTGACAGCTTTAAGACTTGTGGACTTCAACTCCCAGAATTCCTCCTCCGCTCATGTTCGCTCAGGAATTCTGGGAGTTGAAGTGCACAAGTCTTAAACTTGCCAAGTTCGAAGACCCTTGCTTTACATCTTCACATTTTTGATTATCAGTTATTATAGGCAGCATTGAGATAGAAGGACAAATGACCTGACTTCCTATAATCTGTTTTCTTAATAGATTAAAAATAATAAACCACAGATATATCTACTGCAGTGCCAGCATGAATATATTTACACTGGTTCATATGCTGCTTCCAAATAAATAGGAAGATTGAGAGGGAATTGAAAATACGTATCTTCCCATTTTGTAGGAAAATGAAACAGGAGAAAATCCATTAAGTCTGGATGGGAAACTCTTTGAGTTGTTTCTGGCAATCAGCCGCTGCCTGAACAACATGGAACAGATGTTGGGCACCTGTGTACTCTCCAGTGAAGAAGCTCCTGTACAGCAAGTACTTTATGAGGTCAGTACAAATGGGAGAATCTATGTCATAGGTGTTAATCTTGCAGCATCACATGATGTTTCGAGATGTTTTGTCCCTTTGCAGAGCTGGGCTGGGCATGGCCTGCACATGGCACATTTGCCCGCGGGCTGCCAGTTTGACACCCTGACCTATGATTTCATGAGGTACAAAGCAATATGTTTTATATTTTTGCATAATTGCAAAAACCATTCACCATAATGGCATTAGAAGTAGATATTTCCTGAGAATGCTAGCTTTTATTAAGATTAAGGTTGACCAAACTCCAGTTCTTTAAGATTTGTGGACTTCAAGTTCTAGAATTCCCCAGTCAGCACGGTTGGCTAAGGAATTCTGGGAGTTGAAGTCCAAGGTTTTAAAACTGCCAGTTTGGACATCCCGATTTAAAAGAAAGAAATGCAATTTTTTAGCCACTAAAATTGTACAGATGTGTTTTAAAAATTGGAGAACACCTCAGAAAATCTCAGAAGTTTAAAATGGGGGTCAGTTTTCATTTTAATACTATCTGATCAAATTTGTACTTACTGAACTAAAAGGATTGGATTGAAATATAGTTACTCTTCCAAATATGAACTTCTTTGAATTTGTTGATACAATTCTTTGCTCATGAAGCAGTGGGTGAGGAGCAGCATTTTTTTCTTCGCTTCCTCCATAGCCATCTGCTCAGATCAGCTCCCAAATATTGGAGTGAATATCAGGAAGTGTAATTTCCTTCCAAGCAAAAGTTGACTATTTGGGGGAGATGGGCACTGATACTTTTTTTTGGGGGGGGGGGGCTTTGCTGCTGTTTTCATAGGCCATGGGGAGTAGGCAAGTGACACAATTGTGTTATCAGAAGATATCAAATTCTTCATGTTTTGGTTGGTGATGATAAGGTTTTTTATTTTATAATTAAGCTAGCAAAGTTTAATGCACATGGTTCAGGACTTTTATGATACTGAAAATCTGTCAGTTGACTTAGATTATCTACCCCACAGCATTCAAAATTATTGTAGTATCTGAACTACAATAGGTTTATACATTTTTAGTTCCATTTACATATCCCTCCATGTTTACAAAGGGCAAAAAAGTAGGAAAAATCAGGTTATTGTACTGAGATAAACACCAAAAAATGACTAGTTGTTTTTTCTATTTCAAGCCAAATGTGCTCAGGCTAATAGAATTTAACCAAAAAACAAACAAACCCAAGTATAGAAAGTTAAAAACAAATTGATACTAAATATGTTTCGTATTTTGAAATCCTGGTGAAAGAAATGTATTATTCTAAATGGTGAGGAAACAGGTTAAACACAATTTCTGAAGGACTGTGTTCCATAGCTAAGGAGCAATGTAGGAGAAAGCCATTTCCTGTTTCAGAAAAATAAATCTCTGGCTATTAAGGTATATATAAAAGGAGTTTTTTGTTTATCTTTACTACCATACAGTTTATAACAATTGCTCTGTAAATAGCACTACCGTAAACTGTATCTGGTAAACAGCTGGCAATCAGTGCAGATCTTTCTATATAGATATTATATAATCCCTGTAGCATATTTGCAACTTCAAGAACATGTCAAAGATGTCCAAGAAGAACACCATTGAGTATTTTCTCAAGAGGGTGAGAGATACAGTATATGAATGCCCAAGTCTCATGCTGATATTAAAACTTCTCTCTTGAAATAAACAAATAGATGTTGATGGATTCTACAAAAGCCATATTTACTTGCCTATCTCACCTACAATCTGTTTCAGACACTCTCTGCAGAACTACAGAAACTTCATACAGATATTGGAGATAAGAAGGACGATCTTCTGAAATCCATCACCTCTGCCGGTGGAAATTCTGAGAGATTCTCCCAGTGTTTTAGCAACTTGCAGGCATGGCTCCAATTGACACAAACAACTGCTGCTTCTAGAAGCGAGTCTATGAAAACTGAAATGGACCATTACATCAATTATCAGGTATCACAGGGTCAAGTTTTCATTTCAGCCTTTAAAATCTATTAAAACAACTGCTCACCCAAAAACATGCTTCATCCTTTTTCAGTTGAAATGCTAGTGATGTCATATCGATTCACATGTGATCAAATTTACAGAAAACTCTGTTGGAAGAAATATCCATATGGTTCAGTTCCAAGTGGGGAGAAAGATACTGGAAACATGGATGTTGATTAGAAAGATGGTTTATTGATGAACAGGATCACATGGGTTGAGGCCTTGGGCAGCTGACCACGTGGAGTGGAGAGTGAGGGTTATTTATACCTTCTCTTGGGCCTTGCCCTTGAGATTTCTGTTCCTGTGCAAGAAATGCATTCTGTTGATTGCTGTCAGATTCCTATGAGGCTATGCAGGGGTCAGGTTGTAGGTTATCTGAGTCAAGCGTGGTTGAAGCTTGGATTGATGCAATGAAGGGGCTTTGTTATGCAGTTCCTCTTGTGGCTGAATGGTGTTGCCCTGAAGGATAATCCCATCATCCTGGAACCGAAGGTCTTCTGATAGGCTGGCCCAGTCCTTCTCAATGGGCACCAAATATCTGCTGGGGGCAGGGAGGTATAGCTGTGAGTTTCTGACTTTAGAAACATGTTTCTCCTTTAAGGAAAATATAATATTCTGTCTTTTTAATATTTCCTAAAATATTTCATTCTTCTAAGAGGGGTGGATGCTAACTTTCTACAACTCTGATCTCTTGTGCCTAATTATTACCTAGAGTTTTGCAACTAGACAGAGTAGTCCTGTTTTACAGTCATAAGCACAATCTTTGTATTGTACTCTTGCATGGACATCCTAAAAGAGCACAATTTCCTACATAGGCATTCAGGTATAAGCACGTGCTCACATAAAACTTCTACCCACAAAGGAGCTTATCTGAGATAAGACCCATGCTTGCAAACATAATGCAAACTGTATCACCTTTACAGATGATTTAATCTTTGATCTCCATCATGAGAAGCAATTTATGATTACAAAACTGGACTACACTGAGAGTGTAATTCTAATGCATTCCATTTATAAAAGGGCTCTTTTTCTCCCCTTCTCCAAACGTATATACATAAAGAATGATACTGATTAAACAAGCCATTTGAATTGCAGTTTCATTATCCCTTAATTTTGCATAATGCATTTCTCGATTGATATTGGATTTTTTGTTTCTTGTCACAGAATGAAATCAGGCTCTTGTATGATGCATTGATTGAGAAAAAATCCTCTTTGCAACAGTTTTTCAGTGAAATGAGTGGGCATAATATTTCTAAGCAATTCCAGGTAATTAAAATGAGACACGAAAATCAGGTATAATTAGATACCCAGCATTTTAACTAAATTCTTTTATTTTGCTTTTAATTCCCGCAAAATCAAATATTGTTTGTCACTGTGAATAATTTGTATATTTATTTATTACTAAATGTTTGTCTTACTTCTGTCAGTAATCTTTAATTGTGCTAATTGATGTTATTTACAACTACCTGATTTGCTAGTTTATAACACATTTCAATTATGCTTATGGAATTGCTGAAAACATCTAATTGGATTTTAAATATTCTATTAAGTAAAGTATGTCATATTAATTTGATACCTGGCTTTTTAAGTTTTTTTAAATTTTGATTTAAGATGCTGCATCTGTAAAAAAAATTGTTGAGAAATCTTAAAATGTTAGTGAATGCTAAAATCCTGAACCCTAAAAAGTTATCTATTATCCTCTGTAACCCTGTGTTACAGTGCCAGAGCCTAAGATATCCTCTGATAAAGATATGAATGCTTGTTTAACTTTCCCAATATAACTGTATGCTGACATGGAATCAGATCATGCATATAATATCCTCTCTCTTTAGAATCTACAGTAAAATATATCTAAAGTTTAATCTTTACGTTATTATTTTCTGCCTACCATCCCTTCTATGTTATTTACTACCTTTGGTAAAAATAGAAACATTATTATCAGGATATAGGCAACTTGCATTTCATGTTACAGAAGAAAAAAGGAATCTAATGTCATTTCCCCTCTATTTTGTAAAATCTGGTTTACCCTAAATTTTCATTAGAACAATAAAGAGGTCTCAGGTTTTTAAACTACAATTGACAGTTCTTGATAATCAAGTCAGAGGACTAGTGCCAATAAGATTATAGTCGGACAGAACTATTAAGAAATGAGAAAGAGGATATAAGCATTCTTGGTTGTAATGCAAAGATTGTAGAAGTGCAAACAAGCTAAGAGAAAAACCCTAAGTGGTCATTAATTCATCTACCCTGCCCCCCACCCAACAATTGACAAAAAACTAAGTACATTCATTATTCACAAAATACTGTGATTGTTTGGAAGAATGGGCTTGACTATTTTAGAAGAGAGCACAATTAGCTAGAATATGAAATAACTGCATTCTGTACAGCAACACTTACTTGCAGATCTCATTTGTAAATCATTGTTATAATGTTCCCGACATAAACAAATCCTCACTCCAATTACGCCAATTTGTTTTGAGTGTTTTTTTACTTAGACCAGTCCCTTTTTCCACTTAACAAGTGGTTGTTTTATTCTGTTATTTGATAGATATAATTCAGAAAATTGTCAGATCTTTTCTCTGCCTCAGAAATATCACTGCTATTAAAAAGACTTGCCTAATTCTGAATCATTTAATATCTCATTCAGCAGATGGATGTCTTTGAATCGGAACTGCAAAATTTTGAGACACAGGCAGTTAAACTAAGAGATCGTGGAGAAAGAGTTCATTGGCCAGTTGCTGTAACCCACGACGTGTATAAACTAGAGGTAAACATGCTGAATAACAAATGGACACATGAACCGAATAAAATGAAATGCAACTGATCCGAGCATGCTGAGATTGAGGTTAAATGGGGGGAAGGGCAAGGGCACAAAGTAGAATTGCTAGAAATGAGGGTGAGAAAATACATGATGGTCAAATACAGGTAGTCCTCAACTTACGACATTTATGTTGCCAAGGGAGAAATTTGTTAAGTGAGTCTTGCCCCATTTTACAACTTTTCTTGCCACATTTATTAGGTGAATCACTGCAGTGGATAAATTAGCAACTCCGTTGTTAAGTGAATCTGGCTTTCCCATTGACTTTGCTTATCAGAAGGTCACAAAAAGTGATCATACCACCCCAGGACAATGCAACAGTCATAAACAGTTATGAAGCATCTGAATATAAATCAATGACCGTGGGGATGCTGCAATGTAAGTGTGAAAAACAGTCACAAGTCCTTTTTTCAATGCCGTTGCAACTTTGAACAATCACTAAATGAATTGTAAGTCAAGGACTACCTGTACAGCATATAGAATAGGGGTTGGCAACTTCCTTCTACACAGGGTCCAGAAGCTATGCCACTGCCACCATTTCCAAAGGACTTACTGCTGTTCTGACCCAGGCTTTGTTCAAATTAAGAAAAGAAAAATTAAGAAAATGCTGTGTGTAAAAGCGAACCTTTTTTAATGTGATGCTGGGAATTATTTGCATTCCCAGCCAAAACTCATTAAACACAATTGTCTGAGATAAGAACATGCCTTTCAGGGTTGTAAAAGCTGCCAAGAAACAGACGTTCACTTAATTAGCAGATAAACTGACAGAGGTTCCAGCAAAGACAAACCAGAGTCCACAGGGCTGCGATGAGGAGTCAGAATCTAATGAACTTCTTTACTTCCTCACATCCCCAAGGGCTGGCTTTTATCCCTTATGGGAGGGGCAATCACCTCCCAGCCTTACTCCCAAGTCACTCGTGCTGCTTCAGCTGCTGTCTCCTTCTAGCAGCCCTGCACGCGTGCACACTGGGAACAGGCTTCCCGGGATCCTCTGCTTCACTGCTGCCAGAGTCCAATGGCTCCAAAGGCAGCACCCCACTTTCAGATAGTCCTGGCCCCATCCCTGCATCAGATGCAGGACCCTCGTCCAAGTCCTCGTCAAACTCCCTGACTGGTTCCCTTTCATCCTCACTGTCTGATACCTCTGCTGTCCACACTGGCTGCCAGTGAACCACAACAACTGCTCTGCCTTCATTGAGGTGGCTGATGAAGCCTTCCACAACCATTCACCCAAAGAGACAGCATGTGCTTTCTCTCTCCCCCCCCCTCTTTCCAGATAAACATATATTTGGGAGGGGGACTTGGGCTAGATGATTTTGGATAGCAGACCATATCTGACCCATGAGTCATGGGTTGCTGCCACTGAACTAGAATGTGAAATATGGCATTTTCCCTAGAAAGCAAATCACTAAAAGGCCTATTTTAATTCTGGAGATGATCTAACCATTTGATGTCTTTAGGAGCCACATCAGCCATTTCAACTGGCTGATGGACATTGTAATTTGATGGGGAAGATATAATATAGATACATAAATACAATCCTGAACTGCATCCAAAAAAGAATGGATTAGAAATGCAATGTTTGGCTTAGCCAATCAAAATTTGCAGGTTTATAATGTATGTTGTCAAAATATGCAGTTAAACCCTGATTGCTGGTCAGCCGTGTAATATAAAAAACACATTCTAGAACAGTAATAATATTAGTACTTTGTGGTATCTTGAAGACTATTGATTTTGAGATGCCACAAGTTTCTCTGTAATATAATTGTCTCATAAATTATTCTAATCAGAATTTCATTTAATTTCTAGGAGGTGCTGGATGACCTCTGGGAATTCCTAAGAGTCAAACAGAAGGAACTAAATTCTTCATTCATTAAGGAACAACAGTGTGAATTTTTGTTACAAGGATTTGCAGAGCTTATAGATCTTGGGCAAAAGAAACTTGTTCATCTTTCAAAGCTGAAAATTACCAGTCGATCTGATTTAGATTTACACTTGCAAAGCCATAAGGTATGAACATCTGCTTAAATTACACTTAAATATAATTTTCCATACCAAGAAATCACTGATGGATTTCTATTATATGTTCACAAAACACACAATGAATAAATCACATGATGGGTTGATGTGATTGTATTTATTTAAAACAGTTATATAGTCATCTACCTTATAGCAAATTCTTGTTGACTCCCAATAGTCCTACTATGACTATAATGGATTTCCCACCATACACTGAACCACAAACTATAGTTTTAGCCTAATCTAGCCTTGTATAAACCTAGCCAGTGAGATCATGGCAATACTAAGATTCATTGTTTAATGTTATCATATGTTCAGGCATGCATGCATAGATTCATTCACTGGTTAGAAGGAAATGGCCTCACTCCAGAGCTCCAGGCAGTCATTCTCTTAATAAGTGCATTACATTAGCTCATTTGTTCTATGTTTATTTTTCACTTAGAGCTTTTAATGTAATCTCATCAACATGAGCAGAGGTAATTTTATAGGAAGAGGAGGGGCTGTTGCTGTTATGTGTAATCATAACATCTATCCAGGGCTATGATTACTTTGCTGAAAATAAAATATATCCTTGGTAATGAAGATGAAAATTTATAGACTGCCCAGGAGAACATTTGAATAAACACAAGTTGATTTCTACTTAATTTCTCTGAATGTAAACTTAGGAGAAATAGCTATTTGGCATCAAATTAAGAAGGCTGTAATTGTTCGCATGTTGCATATGGAAATGCCCCTTATTTAAAATACTAGCTGGATACCACAGCTTCACAACAAAACTTTGTGATCAGGCTATGCAGGAGAAATTCAGTTCACAATCCATTGGCCCGGTGCTCTGGAATTGAAACACATAAGGGAATATCACTCCCGCCTCCTTGAGTCCGGAAGCAGTTTCATAGGTGGAAGGCGTAGACATTTTGGTGAGGTACCGACGTTTAGTACTGTAAGGAGCCCCAGACCACTCTTAAGTGAAGGAGTGGAATGTCTGTGAGTTTGAACTAAGGTAACGGAATGTGAGGCAATTGGCAGATGGAATAGAGTACTTTTCAGGTGGGGAGGGGGCGTAGAACTCCTTAGCATTAGAGCATATTAATTACTGTATAAGAAATACTAGATCTGATGGTCATTTCATAAAATCCTTTCTTAGTGAGCACCTAGAAGCCAAGAGGAACATATGTGCCCAATTTCAAGTTTGTAGGCTTTACGGTTCTGGAGATTTCGTGATGAGTGAGTGGTACTTGGCTATATAGATTAAGAAAAGAAAAGTTTATATGAGTGAATAATTACTTTTGGGATTCAAAGAGATTTTAAAGATATATATATATATATATATATATATATATATATATATATATATATA